ATGAGATACCATCTCACCCCAAGAAGGTTAGCATTAATCCAAAAAACACAAAATAATAAATGTTGGAGATGTTGTGAAGAGACTGGAACACTTATACACTGTTGGTGGGAATGTAAAATGGTACGACCACTTTGAAAATCAATTTGGCGCTTCCTTAAAAAGCTAGAAATTGAAGTACCATACGATCCAGCAATCCAACTCCTTGGAATATATCCTAGTGAAATACGAGCCGTCACACGAATAGATATATGCAAATCCATATTCATTGCAGCACTGTTCACGATAGCAAAAAGATGGAAACAACCTAGGTGCCCATCAACAGATGAATGGATGAACAAATTATGGTATATTCACACAATGGAATACTACACGATGATAAAGAACAATGATGAATCTGCAAAACATCCCACAACATGGATGAGTCTGGAAAGCATGCTGAGTGAAATTGGTCAGTTGCAAAAGGACAAATATTGTATGAGACCACTATTATAAGTACTCAAGAAAAGGTTTAAACACAGAAGAAATCATTCTTTGATGGTTACAAGGGTGGGGAGGGAGGGAGAGTGGAATTCACTAACTAGATAGTAGATAAGAATTATCTTAGGTGAAGGGAAGGACAACACACAATACAGGGGAAGTCAGCACAACCAGATAGTAGATAAGAATTATCTTAGGTGAAGGGAAGGACAACACACAATACAGGGGAGGGAAATCAGCACAACTGGACCAAACCAAAAGCTAAAAAGTTTCCTGAACACAATCAAACACTTCGAGGGACAGAGTAGCAGGGGCTGGGGTCTGGGGACCATGGTTTCATGGGACTTCTAGATCAACTGGCATAACAAAGTTTATTAAGAAAATGTTCTGCATCCCACTTTTGTGAGTATTGTCTGGGGTCTTAAAAGCTTGTGAGTGGCCATCTAAGATGCATCAATTGGTCCCAACCCACCTGGAACAAAGGAGAATGAAGAACACCAAAGACATAAGGAAAATATTAGCCCAAGAGACAAAAGGGTCACATAAACCAGAGACTCCATCAGCCTGAGACCAGAAGAACTAGATGTGCCTGACTACCACCAACGACCGCCCTGACAGAGAACACAACAGAGTCCTTCATGGAACACAAGAAAAGTGGGGTGCAGAACTCAAATTCTTGTAAAAAGACCAGACTTAATGGTCTGAGACTGGAGGAATCCCAGAAGACATGGCCCCCAGACTTACTGTTAATGCAGAACTAAAACCATTCCTGAAATCAACTCTTCAAAGAAAGATTAGACTGGATTATAAAACATAAAGTACTCTTGAAGAGTGTGCTTCTTATTTCAAGTAGATAACACGAGACTAAATGGGCAGGTCCTGTCTGGAGGCAGGATGAGAATGCAGAAAGGGATAGGAGCTGGTTGAATGGGCACAGGAAACCCGTGGTGGAAAGGAGGAGTGTGCTGCCACATCATAGGGATTGCAACTAGGGTCACATAACAATATGCATGTAAAGTTTTGTATGAGAAATTAACCTGAGCTGTAAACTTTCACCTAAAGCACAATTTAAAAAAATGGCAAAAAAACCCAACTACATTTCAATACCATCTCACCCCAACAATACTGGCACTAATCAAAAAACTCAAAATAACAAATGTCTGAGAGGCTGTGAGGAGACTGGAACTCTTATGCACTGCTAGTGGGAATGTAAAATGGTACAACCACTTTGGAAAACAATATGGTGCTTCCTTGAAAAGCTAGGAATAGAAATACCATATGATCCAGCAATCCCACTCCTAGGAACATACCTTAGAGAAATAAGAACCATCATACAAATGGACATATGCACACCCATGTTCATTGCCACACTATTCACAATAGCAAAAAGATGGAAGCAACCTAAATGCCCATCAACAGATGAATGGATATACAAATTATCATACATAGACACAATGGAATACTGTACAATGATAAAGATCAGTGATGAATTGGGGAAACATCTCACAACAGGATGAATCTGGAGGGCATTTTGCTGAGTAAATTAAGTCAGTCACAAAAGAACAAATATTGTATGAGACTAGTATTTTAAAAATCCTAGAAAAGATTTACACACACATGCACACACAAAACAGTCTAATGGTTACAAGGCAGGGAGGGGAAATCACTAACTGGATAGTAGACAAGTGTTAACTTTGGTGACGGGAAAGACAACACACAATAAAGGGGAAGTCTGCACAACTTGACCAAAACAAAGTCATGGAAGCTTCCTAGACACATCCAAATACTTTCAGGGAATGAGTGACCGGGGCTCAGGGTTGGGGATCATGGTCTTGGGGGACATCTAGATCAGTTCGCATAACATACTTCATAAAGAAGATGTTCTACATCCTACTTTGGTGAGTAGTGTCTGGGGTCTTAAAAGCTTGCAAGCAGCCGTCTAAGATACATCTATTAGTCCCATCCTGTCCAGAGCAAAGCAGAATGAAGAAAACATAAGGAATATATTAGTCCAAAGGACTAATGGACCACATGAACCATAGCCTCCACCAGCCTAAGCCCAGAAGAACTAGATGGTGTCTGGCTACCACCACTGACTGCTTTGACAGGGATCACAAGAGGGGTCCCTGACAACGGGAGAAAAATGTAAAACAAAATTGAAATTCACACATACACAAAAAGACCAGACTAGATTTACTGGTCTGATGGTGACTTGAAGAACCCCTGAGACTATGGTCTCTGGACACCCTGCTAACTCAGAATTGAAACCACTTCCCAAGTCCACCTTTTAGCCAAAGATTAGACAGGCTTATGAAACAAACAACAACATGTGAGGAACGAGCTTCTTAGTTCAGTCAAGTGTATGAGACCAAATGGCAACACCTGCCCAAAAGCAAAGATGAGAAGGCAGGAAGGGACAGGAAAACTGTATGAATCGTCACTGAGAACCAGTGTGGAAAGGCAAATGGGGAGAGTGCTGACACATTGTGGGGACTGCAACTAGGGTCACAAAAAAATTTTGTGTATATAATTTTTGAATGAAAAACTAATTTGTGCTGTAAACTTTCACCTAAAACACAACAAAATTTAAAATTTATGGAAAAGCCAGTGTATATTTATGTAGCTTCTCTACTAGTGATCCCTATCTCAGCAAACAGTATTTCTATCCGTCTAGTTTTGCTCAAGCCAGAAATCTGGGAGTCATTCTTGTTATTCTCTTCTCCTTGTTCGTAATATCCAATCAATCACAAAATTTTGTTAAGAGTTCATTAAATATTTCTCAAACTACTGCCAGGGTTTTTAAATTGGTCTCCCTGCTTTCAAGCTTGTGCTGCTTCTACTACAGTATTCTTTCTAAAATGTGAATCTGATGATATTCTCCTAAAACAATGGCTCTCATTGTCATTAGAATGAAATCGAAAATCTTAACCATGGTTAATGCAGTCTTCCATAAACTGCCTTTGCTTCTCTCTCAAACTTAACTTTCCAGCTGCTCTCAATCTTTCAGCTCCAACTGAAACAGACTTCTTTCTCCTGCCTCAGGATCTTTGCCTTTGCTACTTCTTTCCTTGGACTTTGTTCTGATAGCTAACTACTACTGTTCTCCAGACTAAGCATATTTTTCTCTGGGAAGTATTCTCTTATCTCTGAGGATGGTTAACTCCCATGTTAGTTGTTCCATGGGGCACTTATTAATACTCTTCACACTTGTAATTTCTTGTTCAACGTGAATTCCATAAGAATAAATATTGGCCTTGTTTGCCACTGTGTCCCCAAAACCCAGTTTGACTGGCACATATTAGTTACTCAAATATTATTTGAAAGTATGAGTAAACGCACACACACAAGACCATACAAAGAATGGAGTGTTGCTTATGATATTTCATCTTTTATGTTCACTTATAATTTTAATGTGACATTAGTAACAATACAGAAATCAAAGATTGACTTAATATTTAATTTTCATCAACTACAGTATGGTGTGATTCTATTAAACCATAGGAAAGTAACTTTTCACAAGAAAGGTCCTCAAACTTGACTAATACTGTAAAGTATTAATGATGGCACTGACTTGACTTCCTGGTTCATCAATAGGCTACAAAACAGAATATATTCAAGGTTTTAAAAGGTAATAAATCAAATCTCAAGCCAGAACATGATACTGTGTGTGAGCTGAAAGTGTTTTTTTTCTTCTAGTGTCTACAACAGCAAAGTTACAGAGGGAAAAAAAATCTTAGATGACAAAAAGTAACTTATGTGCTTTGCTTTCTTTTTGTGGAGCTTCTAGTTGCTATTGGCACTGGAGAGAAATTAATAGTTGTTCTGGCTTTCAAAGCTTTTTTAAAGTATTTAAAAATGGACTCTAGGCTAGAGGAAGGGGCTAAGCTGTGTTTTTCTGTACCAGCAGAAACCATAGGAAACTCTTTTTTCAAAACAGTAGCTGCAGGTTTATCCAAAGGCTTAGGGCTTGTCACCCATTCACGGCAGTGGTGCTTTATCCATGCTAATAATTGTACGTCACTTCCCAGCTGGTGTCCTACATGGTGTTCAGAGTCAATAAGTGCAACAGCATATACTTTGCTCATCACTTCCCACTTTCTACGAACAAGCAGGTCCATAAAAACCAAGCCTCCGTAACCATGTACAATGAAGGCAACATCCTTGCCTTCAGTCTTTGAAATGAAGTAATCCCAAATGTAAGCCATGTGTTCTTCAGGGGTGTTGCTGAATCTATCTGGAATACACTGGGGAGGCTGCTGAAGAGATAAAAGGCTCTCAGCTTGAACCATTTTTAGGGAAGAGGACTCAATATTTTGTGCTAGAAGGCTTTTCCACTCTTTTTCCATCTTTAAGTCCACAAAACTGTCATTGAGGTTTGGCACAATTACACCGTAATGTGCCTGTAATGCCATTTGAATACATGGTATCTGACTTCCATGTTGGAGACCATGATGTATTATTGCCTGTTGACTCCATTGTCCAGCTCGGAAGACCCCATGGTCTTGAAGAAGGACAAGAAGAGCAGAAGGATGACTTGTTAATGCACTCTCACTCATGAAAAAGAAACTTCTTGGTTGTTTATCAGCCTCAAGTGGGATATATACTTTTTGTAATTTACACATTTTCTCCAAAAGCTCATAGATGTATTGCTCAAGCAAATGGCCAAGGGCCTGGTAGCGCTTGCTATTCTTCTCATGGACATTTTTATAATAGTTAAAGACAAAAGGGCTTTGTGTCTCAGTGTCTCTCAATTCAGCTTTGTCATTGAAGTCATATTTAAATTCTTCTAGTAAGCCAGACTGTTCAATAAATTTTTGGAAGCTCAGCTCCTGAGTCATTGGTAACCACTGAAAATAAAAAGAATAAAAATGCATATCAGTGCTAGAAAAACAAAAGTAAAATTTTAAACTCGTCTCACTTTTCGAATGGTATTTTCTGACTCCCAAGCCCCACAGGTACATAGGGAAGTTTTTGTGGCTGTCCAAATTACCCAACCTATCTAGACTTCTTTATTCCATCTTGTTCCATTAAAAAAACTTTTCTTCTAGTGTTGCCGATCTCAGGTATTTCTATGGAAATATACCCTCTACTCACTTAACGACATGGTTAGGTTCCAAAGATCAGGTTGTTATGCCAAATTGGTATTATGTGAAAATGGAAGATGACCAATATCAGATCACAAAATGGAGGATGACTACATCACTACATAACTGCCAAATTACATCATTACATAACTGCCAAACCACTGAGAATCATGGTCCAGCCAAGTCGACAGATAACCTTACTCATCAAAGCCAGCGTTCCTCTTGCCTCATACCTCAACATTCGTTAATGTTCATTACTGCCAGATGTATGCTTTTAATGTGCAAAATAGTCAGATAGTAGATTTTTTATTATTGTTGTGAATGCAAAATGTCATATAACAAGTTAGTCGATAAGTGAGGAGAAGGGGTAATTTAATTTTTTCCAAAGTGTAAATGACTGATGGAGTTAACCATCCTTAACAGGAGAGCCTCTGGAATTAGGTTGATTTAGGTTTAAACATAGCTCCAAATTTTTAAGTTGAGTGACCTTCATCAGGTTTCTAAACTAATATGAGTTTCAGTTTCTTCAACTTCTCTGAGTGTTAGTTTAGTTATGCTATTACTCTCTATCTTTCTCCCCTGCTTTATTTTTATTCGTAGCACATATTACCACCTAATTGTTTGCATATTTTTAAAATGTCTTCCCTAACTAGAATGAAGTTCATGAGAGCAGAAACTTTAATTCACTGCTGTATCTTCAGTGCTTTAGAACAGTGTCTTGTACGTAATATATATTTTTTGAACAAATAAATGTGAAATAAGGATAACACCATCTACTTCACAAGGTTGTTATGAGAATTAAATGAACTAATGGATTTAAAAACCATCTTACACAGTACCTCACACAGGATAATCCTCTTCTTTCAGAAATGTGAAATTAAAAACACTACATATATCTCTTATCCAGCCTTGCTTTTTTTCAGTTGACATTGTGATTTTTTTCCACATTAATAAATGTAGTTCGTTTGCTCATTTTGTAAATCCATTACATTTATAGTAATCCATTGTTTGAATACATCATACTTTAATCATTGTCCTGTTGGAAGAACATTTAGGTTGCTCCAGTTCTCCCATTATAAAAAAGCTGCAATGAACATTCTTGTACATACATGTTTGTACACATATCAAAAGTTTCCCTAGGGAATATACCTAGAAGTGGAATTTATGAGTCATATCAACGTCTTCCATTTTACCAAATATTGTCAAATTGCTTTCCAAAAAGGAAAGTCTATTTTTTTATTTGAAACGGATGTGGAGGTTTGCACAGAATAGCAGTAATCTCTCAGACCTAAAAATACTTTGTTTATTCACATGCTGTGCTGAAAACTGTCTTTCTCTGTACCAAAAATAAAGAGAAGGATACAAAATATTTAAAAGTTTATGAGATAAAGAATGAAACTTATTAGCTATTTAACTTTTCCTTCAATCAGAAAACAAACAAAATTAGTATTTTCTAATAGTATATAGTGTACCGCACCTGATTACCCTTTTTCATCTTTGTTAAGTGTTTGTGTACCTAGTTGGTTGAGAAACAATTCTCTGGAGAAAGAATGGAACTTCACAAACTGGAAAACCAAAACTAGCATATAGGTATATAAAGAACAAGGAGTGCTGGTGGCACAGTGGTTAAGTGCTCCGCTGCTAACTGAAAGGTCACAGTTTCAACCTACCAACCTTTCCGTGGGAGAAAGGTGTGGTAGTCGGCTTCCATAAAGATTACAGCCTAGAAAACCCTATGGGGCAGTTCTACTCTGTCTATTCCAACTCATAGTCCTATGGGGTCACTATGAGTTGGAATAGATTCGATGGCAATGGGTTTTATATAAAGAACATAAGCCCTGGTTTGCCAATGGTTAAGCACTTGGCTGCTAACCAAAAGGTTGGCAGTTCAAACCCACCAGAGACTCCATGGGAGAAAAGACCTGGCATCTGCTCCTGTAAAGATTATAGCCTAGAAAACCCATTGGGCAGTTCTACTCTGTCCCACAGGGTTGCTATGAGGGCACACAACAACAACAATATAAAGAACAGGAACCTGGAAGACGCCAGTGGTTTGTGATTGACTGCTAACCTAAAGGTTGGCAGCTGGAACCCACTCAGCAGCTCTGCAGAAGAAAGGCCTGGCAATCTGCTTCTGTAAAGATTACTGCCCAGAAAACCCTACTGCAGTGCAATGAATTACTTAATTTGGCCCATCTAACCACAGTCTTTATAACTCCCAACAAATGACTGAGTGGGGCTATGCAAATGAGGTGCTTGTGGCCCACTGGGGGATTGGACAGCATTGCTAATAATGCAAGTAAGGTGCATGGCACCCTTGTGGGGGTGGGACCATGCAAATAAGGTACATAGAATCCTAACCTGGGAGTTGGTCAGTTTTGCCATCCTGCTAGGCTTAAGAGAGCCAATTCCAGAACAGAGAAAGGGATCTCATGATCACTAAGAAGAGATGGGAGCAGACTGTGTCCTTTGGGCCAGGAATCACTGTGCTGAGAAGTTCCCTGACCCAGGAGACAGAGAGCTGTAACAGAAGAGACGGCAACAGATAGTGAGTGGCAGCAGCAGTGAGGCAGTGGCAGCAGAGGCAGCAGAAGCAGGAGACCTGCAGGAGACGGCACGGTGGGCTTCCTGGCTCATAAAGCAAGACAGCGAGCACCTTCTGGCAGGGGGCTTGCTGACGGAGTGAGGTGCCTCTGGGCACTTGGTGGAGCTATGTTTGCCTACACACAGAGTGAGAGAGATGAGCGTCTTCAGGCCGGGGTTTACTGGCAGAGTGTGGTAACTCCGGGCACTCATCTGCAGAACTAAAAGAGCTTTGTAACACTTGCCTGAGCAGGGCAGAGGCTGAGGAGCCAGACAGAGGCGTGCCTGTGGGCATGGCTGAGAAGAGGCTGTCCTGAACTGTATCCTGTGTTGCTGAACCTGAATTGTAACCTGTTGCTTCCCTCATAAACCCTATAACCGTGAGTATGGTCTGTGAGTTCTATGTGGCCACTGCAGTGAATTAGAGAACCCAGCAGATAAGTAGAGAGTGCCGTGGGAGGGATGGTTAGAGGGTGGAGGCATATCTGACCTCTGCCTCATAGGAATCAGCCTTGAGCTGTTGATGATGATAATAATTCTCTCCCACCCTCATGAAGTTTGAGGAGGTCAGATGACACTGCCACACCATTTTTACACCTATGGAGCACTTCTACTCTGTAACACATGGGATCACCATGAGTTGGGGACCAACTCGATGGCAGCTAACTATAACAACATATAAAGAACCAGTGGAGGTGGAGTGAATAAGAACAAGGTGGAGAGTACCCTGTAGAATGAAAGGCTAGACAATTCTTTAAAATTTATTGCAGTAGGTTTTGCTTGGTTATTATATTCCAACCTTTACCTTTACCCTGAATTCCAGACTCATATCCAACTGTCTACTTGATGTATTACTTGCATGTCAAATAGGCATCTCAAACTTAACATGTTCAAAATACCCACTTCAATCTATTCTCCCTCTCGTCTTCCCTGTCTTAGTAAATGGCAACACCATTCTTTCAGTTGTTCATGCTGCATATCTCCCTCCCCTCTTTCATACCCCACATCCAATCCATAAGCAAATCTGTAGGCGCTATTGAAATATCAATAATCTAATCATGATCATCCCTCCAATTCTGCCACCCAAATCCAAGTCACCATCAACTCTCACCTTTATTTTAGTCTCCCATTCACCTCTTTGCATAAGCTCTGCAGTCTGTTTTCCACAAAGCAGCCAGAATGATCCTTCCAAAACATCTAAATTGGATGTCATACCCCTGCTCAAAATTCTCAGTGGCTTCCCCTCTCACTCAGGATAAAATCTAGCCTAATTCCTTACCCTGGCCTGCAAGGTCTCACATGGCCCTTAGTTCTCCAGTGTCACCTCCCTCCATTCTCTCACTTGCTTACTCAGCTAGCTATATGATCTTACTCTCAGCTCTTTCTCAGGTATCATTTCCCACCACTCTCTTGCTGACTTCACTCCAGCCATATTTGGTCTTTTTGCCTGTAACTGGCAAAGCATGCTATTGCCTAACACCATTTGCCCTTTCTATGCCCACCACCTGGAACACTTTTTCCCTAGATAGCTGTATGGCTTCATTTCCTTCAGATTACTGCCCACGTGTTTTCTGATGAGAGTACTTTCCCAGCCATTCTATCTGAAAATCCTCTCCTATCCTGCGTCACTCCCTCTCTCTTTATAATCCTTCATTTTTTTTAAAGTACTTATTACCAACTAACTTATATTTGCTTATTTGTTTTCCTCCATTAGAATGTAAGTTCCATGGGAGCAGAGGCTTTGTTTTGTTTGCTACTCTATCCCTAGTTGTTGGAATAGTGCCAGGTACATAGTAGGCATTTAAATATTGTTGTTAGAATTTTATGATTTCTGCCAAGGGCATAGGAAGTAAAGAGCACTTTAAAAGCCCTCTAACTGTATACATAGGAGGGAAGAAACACATGAAGCTTTTGAAAAAAAAAATAGAGGTTTCACAGAGTTAATAAATGTCAAAGGTTTATGAATTATTCTTAGAGAATATCCTATGAATCTATATATATTTGTTTTCTCTTTTGCAAATCAAGGTGATCCATTTCTCTCGAGAAAATAAAGACGGTCCATTATAATAAAGAAGGGGGGAATCAAATTGTCTTATATGCTTAGTTTTTTTTAATGAATGGCTTGGAATAAGATACCTTAAGTTTCAAGAATGAGATTATTAGAGCTGGAAGGGA